TGGTACGGTGCAATGTGATTTGGGTGGCGACTGCTGCCCCCGCGACCCGGTAACGGATAAGCGAATAAAAATGGATGGAAGGATGGATGTATATGTGTATATAGTTAGAATTACAGTTCTCTCACACAGGCACGTGTTCACAAAGTGAACAAAAACATTCAAGTGCCGCTCATTCTGTTTCAGTAACACCTGCCGCACAATAATGCAACAAGTGAAGCCCACAAATGTCACCAGTTTCAGTCACATGTGACCGCTATCTAAAACACAGCTGCGGTTTCTTTGCTTTCTGAAGTGATGTGTGAAACAATAGGTCATTAAAGGGCATGATGTCCAGCGGTGAGCGCAGCAGGGGTGTATGGGATAGAGTCACTACTCATAACAACAGTGTTCCAGGAAGGGTTGGCTCTTGTCTGTTGTCCTTGATATAGATCTTTACGCTAAAGCGTTATTGTTTATTTTTTCTGAAAATCAGCTGTTATTTCTTTCGTTTAAAGGTACACAGCACATTGATGCATTCAACAATATAAAGTTGTTATTCTAAAATTCAGTGTCAACGACTCAAGCTAGCCATAGCTGATGCCTTGGTCCATCAGTAGAACACAGTGATGTTATGTTGTGTATCACGTACTCAATTAAATCTGAAAAAATTGATTCTGACTGGAAACCTACCACAATACACTCAAGTATTTTACATTTACTTGCCGTTGTCTTGCTGTTGTACGGGAAATGTTGCCTTTAGACCATTTCCTTGCAGCAAAGTAGCTAAGAATGTTCATTTGGATATTGGATATTATTGACAGTAAACGTTCAGATTAAAACCTTTGGGTTTTAGTTTATCAATGTCATCTGTTGGACAAGGCTGTCAAGTGAAGAAAGTCAGAGGATTTATCTTAGACTTCAACAGTTTTATGACAAAAATGGAAAGATCAAAAGCTATAACTGTAAAACCCATAAAAAGCTTGGACATTAATCCCTGCGTCTGCGAACCAAATGTGCACCAGTTGAATCTTTAAGTATTTTCCGGTCAGCGATTGAGACACGAGTTCCATTTGTATCTTCTGACATTTTTTGTCCGTGGCAGTAAAACACACAAAATAACTGTTTTTAAATCAATCCATGTGTCCAGCTCCTCGGTCATGAATGTCAGTCGTTTGTCAGTGGTATGTGCATTTTTATAAACAATCACCCATTCAGAAAGAAAAAGACGATGAGTCAGCACCATGTGTGTTCATCCACACCAGCAATCCAACAGAACACTTTACGTTTCTGAAGCTGTAAAAACTCGTTGGACACATCTGACTCTGATACATTACATCCATAATTTACTGTATACATACACTTTATAAATACAGCAAATTTCTTACTTTAGTTTCCTTTTCCTCTTTACTATTTTTCTTCTCTTCTTCTCCTTCAGTCTTTTTTTTATTCCTTTCTTCCACAGCACTAATTAATATGTTCGCTCTTCCCTCATGGATTGTCCTCTCCTCCTGTCTTCATTTCATCTGTGGGCTCTCCAGAGAGCTGAAGACTACTGTACTGTACGGCATAACACGACAACAACACCTGCTGTACTCTGTACTGTGTGTGTGTGTGTTTGTGTGTGTTTGTCCCTGCTCATACAGTGAAAGTTGTGTCTGTTTCACAGCTTAGTGCATCTGAAACATGGATGTAGGTAACATCCGTAATCTTATGCGTAAAACGCAAGTCTCTCTTTTAGAAAATGGCTTTCTGGAGAAACGTATCAGTGAGCTTCAGGATGTAAGTGTCTGACTCTATTTTTATTAAACAGTAGTTTAATGTCTCCATTAATGTCTGTCACTTCATTATTTTCACAGTGTGTCAGATGTAAATTTCTAAATTTTGTATTTGAAATGAATGTGATGTCAGTGAAGTGTTTTGAAAAGTAGAAAAGTGTGAATATTACTTTATAGAAAATTGTGGATTTTTTTTCTTTCTTTATTCAGTTTCCAAATAGAAAAATATTAACTAAAAACAGCTGACTGTGCAATTCAAAAATGTTTTTCTTTTGCTTTTACTTTTGTTTATGCTGAGGAATAACTCCATTGTTGCAGCAACAGGAAGCTGAATGCGACTAGTTTTTGGCAGTTAGAAGAATTATCAGTGGCTGTTGACTGGAGATATAAAGCATCCGTACATACAGTAGATGTTTTTACAGGGTTACGGTGGTTGTGTATTATAGATTAAGTGTTACATACAGTACTCCCTTGTACTGAATATCTGACCCCTGAGTGAGATCGGAGGAGAGAAAACCCCCCACTTCTTCATTTTTCTTTTTCTTTTATTCCTGGTTTTCATTCTCTCTTATTCCTTCCTCCCTAATGCTGATAAATTATGTGACGACTTATCCGTGGTTACTTTCTCTCTCTCTTCAGTTTTCTGTTTGCGTGAGTCTTGCAAAGTATGATGAATGTAGTGTTAAACTGCAGAGCCTTTTTCATAATAAATCGCTGACTGATCCACCCACTCCCTCTTTATCCTCATTTAGGTGGTGGCTAGTGACGGGGTGCGGGCTATGATGGAGTCGGCCCTGACAGCCAGAGACAGAGTGGGGGTGCAGGACTTTGTCCTCCTGGAGAACTACACCAGTGAGGCGGCCTTCATCGAGAACCTGCGCAAACGGTTTAAAGAGAACCTCATCTACGTGAGTATCTGTTATCAGTGTGTTTGTGTATGTGTGTTAGTATCAGAGAGAGAGACAAACTGTCAAGGTTGAGTTTACACAGAGACCATTTCTATAATTGAACACGTTTAATGGACAAATGTAAAGCTTTTTTTTTTGCATCAGTTCTTTTTAGTTATTTGTTTGTTTTGATGAGTCGTTCATATCACATATCACTAACATTTGTTGGTTTCAGACATATCCTTTGTTTTTTTTAAAAAAAACAAAGAGCATTTCTAAAGGAGTCATGTAGGACTCATAAAAATCATCTTCCAATGATGACATTTTTTTCATCATCTCACAATTGTCCAGTTAGTGCAGATGCCGTGAGCATTGTTAGTGACATTTGATGGTTGTATCCAATTTTTTTTCCTTTTTTTTAAGCCAGGCTAATTGGCTGGATTTTTGTATTCTGTGTTGTGCATTTTCTTGGAAACCTTGAGATGTTTCTGAGACGACCTGGCTCTTTATTTAATATTTACAGCCACTGCTTCTCCACTGCACTGTAGCTCCTTTGTTTCTACATGGAAATCCCGTTAAATAGAACCATTTTGGGTCAAGGAGAGAGAAAGCGAAGCTAAGCACAACAACCAATAATATCACAGATAACAAAGGCACAAAAATATCTTAATTATAAACCAATCACATTCCATAGATTGTGTCAAAACAACAGAGTGATGCACATAAATTCAAGTTACCGTATGTGTGGATCCCAAAGATCGATCACATCGGAGCTACCATTTTAAACAGAACCACGTGTGGACACAGTCACAGCCCCGTCGGTGGATCACATTGACGTGACGTTTTCTAATACTATGTTAACTTCCCACCAGACTTACATTGGTTCAGTGCTGGTGTCAGTTAACCCATACAAGGACCTGGAGATCTACACCAAGAACCACATGGAGCGATATCGTGGAGTCAACTTCTACGAGGTCTCACCACACATGTGAGTAGTCAAGGTCAAAAGCATTTAATCATTTATTTATTTTTTACCACCTCATTGTAGAACAGGGAAGGTAAAATACAACAAACTAAAAACTTCCACACAGTAGTTTTTGGACAAACTGCTGATGTGTTGTCACATTTCCAATACTCTGAAAACAAGGAGTCTGTTGAAGCTCAAGAAAGACTATCCTGACCCTGAATTACATCACATTTATTAAATGTTGTCTCTTCATTTTAGTCCTACCGAATGCTCTCACCGTCCAACTGTGGAGACGTTTGCTCAGTGTTTGTTTGAATGGTTGCTACAGGAATGTTCAGGGAATATATCCATAGGTCAGATACAAAACAAGCAGGGCCATTGTAGAGCAAAAACATCTCACAATCTGATCCTGCTACTGGCAGTCCTTTCCTGTCTTTACTTTAGCACCGAAGTGTAGTGCCAGTGTTTTCACCCTCTCTGAGTGGAAAGAAAGATGTGATCTGGCAGAGAGCTGAGTACAAATGGGAGGGTGAGGTGGAAAAGAAAAGAAAGCAAATGATGGTATAAGGAAAGACATTTCCTCCCTTGAGAGGGAATTCCTCTGACCCAAGTCTGACCCCTCCCCCCCGTACACACACACACACATACACACTGTACAGTGAGGTGCAGCCCTGCAGTCAGACCTGTATTTTTCTCTCAGCATTTTTATCTGATGTCAGATTTGAGCTGGAGCCGGCTGAAACAACACAGCAGGGCTGATAGCTTCAGTGGGCTGATGAATGACACAGCATCATTGTTTCATTATGGAATCACTCAGTGATTCACACTGGTTAAATAACTTTCTAAATATTATAATATGCATCTTAATAAACGTGTTAATGCAGTCATATCTATGAAAATAAGGTCCGTATAGCCAGGTTCACTCAGTTTCTCTTTTTATTTTAAGGATATTTACATTCACAAGAAACGCTGCTCTTGCTAATAATATACATTTTTTTACGGTTTACTTTTTACTGTTTTATGCATCAATCTGGTAAATTGTTTTTTTTCTACTCGTATATACAGATTAATAAAATATATTGAATTAAAAATGGCTTCAGAACGAGGCGTGTCTTCACAAAACACCATGTGAAAAGTGACTTGGAGACTAATATATTAAACCAGGCTGAATTTAACTCGCCTTCGTGTCTACAGCTCAAGCTCTTTATTGAAGCAGCATTTTCTGTGATCTCTCCCAGCTGCTGTCATCACGATCTCCATATGAGTGGCTCATCACAGAATTTCCAGCATAATATCCCAACAATAATAATAATAATAGTAATATCTCAAAATGAATCTTGTTCTATATTTAATATACAAATACCGTAAACAAATTATTTGTCCATCATTTGTGTTTGAGTCCACAATTCTACAGAACTCTGTGCTTCCCCTTTTTGCAGCTATGCTGTAGCAGACAACTCCTACCGCTCCATGAGGACAGAAAGGAAGGACCAGTGCATCCTGATCTCTGGGGAAAGTGGAGCTGGGAAGACGGAGGCGTCCAAGAAGATCCTGCAGTACTATGCAGTCACCTGTCCTGCCAGCGACCAGGTGCAGACTGTCAAAGACCGCCTGCTGCAGTCCAATCCTGTGCTGGAGGTGAGACAGAATGTCCATGGTTATATAATCACCACCTGTTGATCTGACACTGGGAACCAACTCAAGACTCAATTCCCACTGAAATAATGACTGACTCCCATTATATAAAAGTATACAAAACAAATACTACCTGGTGCCTCTCTCTCACCATTAGACAGCCTTTCTTTTTTTGTTTTGTTCTTGTTGCCTTTGTAAATTCCAAACTCAAAATACTACATTTAAGCTAACCAATGTTGATGTGTCCTTTGCTAAATCCCCTAAATGTCTCTATGGACATTGGAAACAGAAGTAAGCAAACCAATGGTTTTCAAAGTGGGGGCAAAAATAATAATAATAATAATAATAAAAATACATATATACAGTTGTTATTAAGATGCTCTGCTCTTCAGGCTAGCGTGTGACTAGCTAGTGCATGTTCGTTAATAATTTTCTTATGCTAAACAAATATAGTTATTGAATCGTAAATAAAAGTAAGAAAATACATTCTAAAAGTTTAAGTTTCTTTATGTATTATGTTGTATTGTCTGTTAGTTTAGGCTGTCTGAGGTTACCATGCCGTGGAACCATGTTTGGGAACCCCTGATGTAGACGACAGATTGAATCTAAAATGCCAGTTGTCCTGACAGGCCACAGTGCAGTTGATCAGCACCTGGACCATTTCTGTGTCCTTCTTTGGTCACTGCTGTCGGCCAGTCCAACGTCACAGTTTATATTCTTTTGTTCACATTTGACACGTGAAATTGTTTTGGTAAATGTCACGGTACTGTGTAAAGAACAAAGTGCTGACTGTTACCGAGTCAGCGCTACCGAAGCTTACCAAAGCACTTGTTTTGAAGTCTGCTGAGTTTCACCCAGATGTTTTCCAGATGTGTTTATGTGAGTTTCTCTGCACCATGCCCTGTAATCTGTGCTACTGTGGTGTAGACACACACCACAGGGATTCTGACACCTGTGGCTTCAACTTTTTATGCCACCATGTCCTCATTTTACTTTACTTTACTTTTTTTTTTGGTATTTCTCATCCTTAAACTTTGCTCATCATCATTCTCCTTCTTCCTTCTCCGCCCCCTCCTCATCCCTCCCTGTCTTCCCTCCTCAGGCCTTTGGCAATGCCAAGACGTTGCGTAACGACAACTCAAGTCGCTTTGGCAAGTACATGGACATTCAGTTTGACTTTAAGGTGAGCTTAACAGGTGTGTGTGTATAGTCACAGCTGCTTCACACTGGTGATGGACATAGTCTATATGTAAAACAATGACCCTAATTTTGGTCAACATTAATGTCGTTCACTTCTTATTACAACTAACTTTCCAGGTTTTTTATTATTTCAGACAAAAAGACTTATCATCAAATTTCTAGGAGCCAAGAAAAAATAATCTAAAAATATTACGATGTCCTTCATATGTGTGAAGAAATGACACAGAATGAAATTTCCTATTTTCTTTAAAACATGTTCAACATCCCACAACACTTCCTTAGTACCCCAGCCTCACCCACTCCCACTCTTCCCTCCACTCCCCCTCCCCTGTTCCCCCCCGGCCTTTGTCCCGTTGGCAGGGCGCCCCGGTTGGAGGCCACATCATCAACTACCTGCTGGAGAAGTCCCGCGTTGTCCACCAGAACCACGGAGAGAGGAACTTCCACATTTTCTATCAGCTGATCGAAGGAGGGGAGGAAGACCTGCTGAGACGCCTGGGCTTGGAGAGGAATCCTCAACAGTACCAGTACCTCGTCAAGGTATACACAGTACCTAGACACAGTACCAGCATTTTTACTGCATATATATTATATGACCTCACATCTAATCTAGTGTTCCGCACAGCTTTTGTAAACCATTCACACTCCTTGTCTATCCTGGTGGAAGTCACGTCTCAGTACCGTTCCCCCCGGTGGGATTTCTCTCTAATAGGCTCTTAATCAGAGACTCTCACTGCAGAGAGAGCAGCTTTTCCTCAGGAGGGTTCGACTGCCTGAAGGCACCGCTGAGCCATTCCTTCCAAAAACACACTCACGCTAACGGCTGCTGAGCTAAAACACCCAGTGCGTGTGTGTGTGTGTCTAAATGGGTGTTTACTTTACATATAAATGGGTGTTTATATGTTAACAACATCACCTACGTTATTGATTTTACTGGAGCCGTTAAACTAGAGACTAAATAAAGAGCTCTTTCTCACTGAGTGAGCTGTGTTTACCTGTGTTTATTGTGTGGTGTGTGTGTGTGTGTTTTAGGGTAACTGTCCCAAAGTGAGCTCCATCAATGATCGCAGTGACTGGAAAGTGGTGAAGAAAGCCCTAAGTGTGATTGGCTTCAATGAGGACGATGTGGAGGTGAGACCTAAGATTGAGGCTGACCGTATTTAAGGTTTTTGACACGTGGTTAAATAAAGACATGACAGAAAATCAATAATGGTATTTAAATTAGCCTGACTGAAGTGTCTATAATGTCTACTTTATTATCTGTTATCTTGTTGTTATTTGAAATGATGTGGCTTTTACTCTTGGCTCCAATGTCCCGAGGGATAATCGTCAATTTAACTGCACACTATTATTCCACTAGTGAGTGTAAATATGTTTTTATGCTCGTTCTGTGTCTTTAATATGAATTATAAAAACACTAAAATAAGTTCTCACTAAAATCTCAACTGAGCTGTCTGACATCTTCATCATCATCATCATCAAATACCACAGACTTATCCAAGCATTGGTTTCATTGGGCCAAACACAACAGTCTGCCTTCCTTTTTCTGCCTCCTCTTTGACTCTAATTCATCTTCTGTTTCTGTGTTTCCTTCTACGTAGGAGTTGTTAAACATAATTGCCAGCGTTCTTCACCTGGGGAATGTGCAGTACGGCGATGAAGAGGGCAACGCTTGCATCACCTCTGACACACAGATCAAGTACCTGGCCAGGGTAAGATGATGTCACTCAGCTGACGCCATAAATCATCCTTACACTGCATACTGTATTTAAAGTGGTGTTTAAATGTTCTACCCAAAGTGTTTTAGGGTGTTTTATAACTAAATGCTTAAAAAAAAGTATTTCTATTTTCTCATGAAGTCCATTGAATCCATTTGACTGAGGAAATACATCATCATCTTGTATTTTATATTATTCTATAATCAGTTAATGTTCATAGAGATGATCTCACTAGATTTACTGTTTGTGTGTGTCTGTGTGTGTGTGTGTGTTCACTAATGGTGTTGTGCCTCTCCAGCTGTTAGGAGTGAATGGCACGGTGCTGACAGAGGCACTAACTCACAAGAAGATTATTGCCAAGGGAGAGGAGGTGGGTTTTTCATAAACACTGTCATAGTAGCACCAGCGTGTGATTAGCATTTGTATACAGTAGAGTTGTTCAGTCTGCACGTGTCATGTCTTATAATGCCCTGGACACTGCAGGAGTCTCTTATTGACATGACATCCTGACTTCCTTGATGAGTTTGTCTTTCTCCTCCTTCCTTTTCAGCTAATGAGTCCTCTAAACCTAGAGCAGGCCTCATACGCTCGGGATGCTTTGTCCAAGGCTGTGTACGGACGCACTTTTACCTGGTTGGTGAACAAGATCAACGCCTCACTGTCATACAAGGTATATGCCCACACACACAAAAACAGACAAAGAAAGACGCACACTTATAAACAACATATAACATTGAATCTCCTCTGTTTACTTTTGGATCATATAGCAAGTAAAAAAAAAAAAAAATTGCAGATATTAATATTCAGGGTTTGTGTCGTGACAACAGTGTGCAGTGGGAAAAGGTCGGATGTAAATTTATGTTAATAAACCTGTGAGTTTCAAAAATAAAAGATCTAAAAAAAAGGTTCTGTGAAAATGCATCGTGTGGGTGGGGAATGTATGAAGTGTATTGCGTTACATTAGAGCTCCCCCCTGTGGACATTTACAGCTCTACAAATTGGTTCACTTTTTCAAATGTGTGGTATATTTCTCAGGGATTTTACTTCAACTGATGTGAAACACGATTTCACTTCATTGTATTTTAGATGAATGTATTTGATTAATTAAAAACCCAAACGACTTTGATCTTTGTCTCCAACAGGATGACTCCTCCAAGACCTACTCTGTCATTGGTCTGCTGGACATCTATGGGTTTGAAGTCTTCCAGAATAACAGGTACAGTGGGCGCTTAGTAATCAACACACTTTCAACATCGTTTTTTGACCTTCCATAAAACAATAACTTAAAAAACGTCACATCTAAATCCAGATATCCATTTATTTTATTGTTCTTCATTTGTACATGAATCTTTTTCTGTTTTGTGTGTGTTTTTGCACAATAGCTTTGAGCAGTTCTGCATCAACTACTGTAACGAGAAGCTGCAGCAGCTTTTCATCGAACTCACCCTCAAGTCGGAGCAGGAGGAATACGAGTCAACGAGCATCACGGTCAGACATCGCCGTCATCTTCTGTTTTTCCACATCAACTCCAGTGTTTAATTCAACCTGTGAAAATATATATATTTAAGTTGTTTAGTTTTTGAAGATATTTTTACACATATATAACAAAGTATACTGACCATTTGAAGAATATTTCAGGGCCACTTTTCAAGAATAACACACATAAAATTTTTTTTTTTTTTGGTTAAGGACAAAAAATCTGATATTATATAACATTTAAGGTCCACAAATAAGGTTTGTAGTTGTTTGCCCTCGATGAACATGACAAGAAGATAAGATGCAAGAGAACATCCAAAGGTCTTGGTACATATACTGTACAATTTTGCTCTAACATTTGCTGTTATGAGGGCCTCCAATCCTGACAGCGTTCATCTCAGTTTGTTGCGTTGTTGGGTTTTGTTGTGCGTCTGTGGAACAAGGCTCTTCTGTGTTGTGTCAGATGCAAATGCACTGGTCGGGCAGAAAATAGGTTGTGGGTGAAACTTGGATTCACCTCTGAAAGAGTCCATTATCATCTGACATCAGCAACGTGGGCCACAGTGTCTGTCATTTCTGGAAATATGTGTGGCCGTTACAGTCCACCTGTGGACGCCCTGTGTCCACATCAGTGTTTGACATTAAAGTGGGTGAGGGTCTGTTGTAAAGGTTTATCATGTCTGCTAGTTAAAGTAAGTTATTCATTTACCTGTGACAGTTTCGGCGTGATACTTCCACCTTCGTCAGGCTGTCGCCTTATCAGAGTGTACATATCAGGGGCCATATGGACAGTTGTAAAAAAGCTAAATTAAATCAAATGATTTCTTAATTATTTTTTATTTATTGTATTTTTAGACAAACCAAAAAAATAGAGTTTTCTGAACTATAAAAAACAGAAAATGAAAGCCTGATTATGCAAAACTGATTCACTTTTTGTGATAGTGACAGTGGAAATTGCCTGAATTGAATGTGACTGTGAATGTGTGGTAATTTTTTTTTATCCTAATTTCTAAAAGAGAGTGCTTTTGTTTTTTGTTTTTTTCAGTGGGAGCCTGTGCAGTACTTCAACAACAAGATCATCTGTGACCTGGTGGAGGAGAAGTTCAAAGGCATCATCTCCATTCTGGTGAGAAGACGAACTGAGGAGTGTTGGGATAACCAATGAAAAAATTAGAATACTCTGTCTCTAGTCTGTCACATGTCACTGTCCTGCATGTTGAGATTGTCACTGGTTTGACTCTTCATCCTCTTTCAGGATGAAGAGTGTCTAAGACCTGGAGATGCCAGTGACATCACGTTCCTGGAGAAGCTGGAGGACATCGTGGGAGGACACGCGCACTTTGTCACGTTAGTTTTTTTGTTGTAATCTGTAATTGTGTCTCAGTCGTTTCCAAATCTATTAAAACTGACCGTTGACTCTTGTGTTTGTGCCGTGACTGTTTCAGGCACAAGCTGGCTGATGGAAAAACACGGAAGGTGATGGGTCGCGATGAGTTCCGACTGCAGCATTACGCTGGAGAGGTCAACTACAACGTCAATGGTATGTCTGTTTGCATGGTGGTCGGAAAACCAACAGCTCACGTTGATGAAGATTTGACATTTTTTAAGCTGTTGCTTCAAAAGTTCCAGAAAAACCTTTAAAAGCACTTGAATTCCTAACTAAGAAAAGAACTTACAAATCACTGCAAATGTGACACAACTGAAGAAAACATTCCTTCCAATAGCTTTGATCCCTTAAGGGGGTCCACCCCCTATTTTGGGAACCACCAAACCATTGCTTAATAGAGGTTTTATTATCATTTATTGCTAAGAATTTATTGAATTAATTGTAGAATAAGAAAGGAAAATATACAAATGTGAAATAAATATTTTCCCTTTTATTGTTTTCTTAAGGTTTTCTGGACAAAAACAATGACCTGCTCTTCAGGAACTTAAAGGAGGTGAGTTTGAATGTCACCACCATATAATAGAGGGGGGATGAGGGGGGGCAGTGTCAAAGGAAAGGATCTTATTTAGAGGAAAATGGACGGTGAAATCAGACAGATCAGTGACAAACTGGTGTCACGGTGTTAGTCAACATGTGTGTTAACGTGTGTTCATGTGTCTGCAGGTCATGTGTATGTCAGAGAACAACATCCTCAACCAGTGTTTCAACAAGGAGGAGCTGAGTGACAAGAAACGCCCTGACACGGTGAGACACACGTGCCTATATCTGTGTGTGTGTGTGTGTGTTTCCTCTTATCCTGCGCCTCTTTTCCACACTGGTATGAATCATACTCCGGTGCATCACCACATATTTTCCCACAGATAAACAAACAGTGGTGTGTTCCCCTCCTCAGTGTCGAGTGGGCGGTCTGGCGGGGACTCTCTGCGGCCTCCCACTCGTTGAGGAATGCCCTGACACTTGTATGCCCTTCACACACACACACACACACACACACATCTGAACAGGGTTCTGTCACAGGCTGGTCAGTGAAGAGTCCCAGTCCTTCACACTGGTCCCAGTGTTTGGTCTGAACTGGACTGCCAGTCACTTTGGCCCCTCCTCTGTTGATGTAGCTCTTCTTAGGTCATCACCTCTCCCTGGGGGACGGGGACGGAGACGGGGGACGGGGCTGTTATATCTGTCTAAGTGTTTAGATTCTGCTCTCCATCGTCCACTGTCCCTCAGCGTCTGACTGCTGTCCCCTTTGTCCTCACAAGCTCCGGCTCATTCTAAGTGACTTTCTTTTTTTTTTTTTCCTCTTGTCCGTTGTGTTGCCTCTCCAGGCAGCCACCCAGTTCAAGGCCAGTCTGGCGAAGCTAATGGAGATCCTCATGTCCAAGGAGCCGTCGTACGTCCGCTGCATCAAACCCAATGACTCCAAACAAGCAGGTACAAAGTCTTGTCTAACTCTCTGATCAGGACGCCAACAGCTTCAACAACCGTAGTCCTGTACTGATGGTGGTCCAGTAGAGTAATAGTCTGAGCTCTGAAGCTGTTTTAACACAGATAAGTGACTTTCTCAACTGTACTGTACTGTACTGTACTGTACCTCTTTTTGAGACATTATAATGCCAGTTTTAGGCATTTTTTCTGTCAATCCCTGATATTTAATTTTTCTCTTTTTTTTCTTTTTTCTGTTTCTGTATATAACACTTTGGGGCATTTTCAGAAAGTTTAGAGATAATACTTAATGCTTTTATTAACTTTATATTTCAGGTGAGGAAGGTCCAATCAGATTTTACACTTTTTTTTTTATTTTAATATTTGTTTGTTGGGTGATAGTGTTTTTGTTCTGTTTCTTATGTTTGTAATTATCGTCTTTATAATTCAGTTTTTAAATAATACTATTTTTAATTTCCCTGCCATAACTCTGACGTTTAAGAATCCTTCTGTTGATTCTGGGAACTCACATTTTCCAGTAATATCTCCTGGTCTTTTAGTTTTTATTGTTCCAACTACAACAGTTGTAGTTGAGCTCCATCAGATACTGCAGTCTTACTCTCTGCGTTGTGTTCAGTAAATCGACCGGGTCTTTGTTTCCCTCCAACAGTTGTCCTTTTGTTCATGTCCCACAGTTCCTCTGTGCTGTGTCACTCCTACTCCTGCTGTTTTACATTCACTGGGTTTCTCTGCTGAATTTTGTTTCCAAATTATTTTATGTTTTTAATCAGACTGACTCTCACTCTCCTCTCTACCACCTCCTTATCTTCCCCAGGTCGATTTGATGAGGTTCTGATTCGACACCAGGTCAAGTACCTGGGACTGATGGAGAACCTGAGGGTGAGGAGAGCGGGATTTGCTTACAGACGGCGCTACGAGGTTTTCCTGCAGAGGTGAAATATTATATTTTCAAACTCAGCAGACTTTGTTAGCAGAAACACTTTACCAGGCCATGCTGCTCAGTGCTCCTCCAAGATTGCACCCAGCAATCTTAGAGAAGTAAAAGGAGTATAGTTTGTGTCTCACACTGTTTCTTTGTAAAGGTACAAGTCACTGTGTCCAGACACGTGGCCAAACTGGCAGGGGAAACTGGCCGACGGTGTCGCCACACTGGTCAAACACCTGGGATACAAGCCAGAGGAGTACAAGCTGGGAAGGTCTGTAAGATGTACACACACAAACTCTAAGACATGATGCATCCTATATTCCCTTACCCAAAACTTAACTATTACAATCCTTAATCCTTACCCTAACTCTAACCCTAAGCCTAAACCCTATAAAATATTTTCACTCAAAATATATATATATATATATATATTTTATTTGTTTTGTTGTTACATTTTTGTCTTCTTTATATTCACAGGTCAAAAATCTTTATCCGTTTTCCAAAGACCTTGTTTTCCACTGAGGACGCACTAGAGACCAGGAAACACAGTCTGGGTAAATGTCTGTCCATCTGTCTGCTGTAAACAGTGGATGGTTGTAGTGTTGTCTTATTTCTCATGTAAATTGTTTTTTTACATTTTCTTACAACTTCTAAATAGTCACTATGTTCCTATAAACTTTTCACCCTTTTGGTATCAGAAGGATCCAAAAGCATTTCGTCCCACTGTTGCTGTCCAATTAAAACCTGTTTTTCTGTTGGTCTAAAAGAGAATATTGGGCTAAAACTCCAGTCAGACATGTATTAGATTTTGTATTTAGCACCGTTAGCTCTGGACTAAAACTCTTCCTTCTCTCTCTTTCTCTCCTTACAGCCACTCAGCTGCAGGCAGGATGGAGAGGCTACAGCCAAAGGACTAAATACCTGAAGCTCCGAACTGCAGGTGAAGAATCCTAATATGATTTCTCAAATTAGAAAATATTTTAAAACTGCTGTGAGTATACCGACTGTCAGAGTTGGTGTCTGTAGCTGTAATGGATGTTGTGTATCTTTCAGCTATTGCTGTGCAGGCGTGGTGGAGAGGAATCCTGGCCAGGAGGAGAGCCAAGCAGAGGCGTCAGGCTGTCGATACTATTCGCAGGAAAAAAAAAAAAAAACAACACTTGTTACTCGAGGACAGGGAATATTTCAAACAGCATTTTACATCAAAAATATGTGTTGCTTTACCGAATAAAAGATAAGAGATTTATATTTTTACTACTACAGGTTCGTCAAGGGCTTCATCTACCGCCACAAGGAGCGCTGTCCAGAGAACGAGTACTTCCTGGACTATGTTCGCTACTCATTCCTGATGAAGCTGCACAGGAACCTTCCCAAAAACGTCCTGGACAAAAGCTGGCCCACGCCCCCAGCTGCTCTCACCGAGGTACACAGGAGGACAACAACAACAACAACAACAAAAAGAAATATATTTGAAGGATCACGTATTTTGTTTTGTTTCTTCCAATGGTGTAAAAACTGTGGTTGTCTTCAGGCATCGGAGCATCTACGAAAGTTGTGCATGCAGAACATGGTGTGGAGCTACTGTAAGAAGATCAGTCCTGAGTGGAAGCACCAGGTCAGTGTCGTCTCAGCATCTGTCACTGAGAGTCCACTGTGTTGACTGTTACGCCAGCTCTAACTGTCACGATTCGTCTGTTAACAGATGGAGCAGAAGGCGATCGCCAGTGAACTCTTCAAGGACAAGAAGGACAACTACCCCCAGAGTGTCCCCAAACTCTTTCTCAGCACAAGACTCAGTGAGATGCACACGAACGGCTGCACTAAAAGATGAATGAACATGATCAAATCATTTTGTAATCAACAAAAACAACTCTGCTCCAAGATACTGATCTCTGAATCTGAAGCTGACATGTCTTAGCAGCAGAAAGAAAATCCTACATTTATGTCTAGGGAAAAGATGTTGAAAACGTATATAACCTGCTACTAGTTGATTTTCATATCATATGAATTAAATGTTCCCCATTTCCCAACTGATGAGAAATGAATAGTTACAAAAGTCGCTCACTGTCAGACACTAACTGTGTGTTTTCTTCAGACGGCGAGGACATAAACCCCAAGGCCCTGCAGACTCTGGGCAGTGAGAAGATGAAGGTCAGTGCAGAGAGTTTGGTCAGAACCCAGAGCTGTCTGTGTCTGTGTCTGTGTCTGTGTCTGTGTCTGTGGTTCTACTGTTCTGACTTCACCTGTTACCTCACAGTATGGAGTCCCCGTAACCAAGTATGACAGGAAGGGCTACAAGGCTCGGCCCCGACAACTGCTGCTCACGGGCAACAGCGCCATCATCATAGAGGAGGCTAAGGTCAAGCAACGCATCGACTATGCAGCTCTGAAAGGTCAGAGGGCGAGTTTGTTTTGTGTGTCTGTGCGGTTGTGTTTGTCCTGTGTATTCACTACATGTTAGTATTCAGTACACATTTACTAGTTCTGACTAGTTTACTATACAATCTGAATAAACCAACACGAACCCCGGTCACAGATGACCTCTTGACCTGCCTGTACTCTGATACATGAATTGATGACTAAGCAGCTCCTCTGAGCCTGACTTTCTGTTTTTCTTTTGTAGGGATCTCTGTCAGCTCTCTCAGCGACGGCTTGTTTGTTCTGCACGTGCCCAGTGAAGACAACAAACAGAAGGTCCTGAGCAGAGATGCTGCCACACCTCGGCTGATTACTGCTGCTAGTATTAGCTAGTTTTTTAACTGCTGCTTCATCTCTGTTTTTCCCTCTAGGGCGACGTTGTCCTGCAGAGCGACTACGTGATCGAGACCCTGACCAAGATTGCAATCTGTGCCGACAAAATCAACAGCATCAACATCAACCAGGGCAGGTGAGGGGCAGGAGCGCAACCCAGTGGTGTCACCATGAACTTCAAAATAAAAGTGTTTTATTGGGTTTCTAAGAGTCGCTAGTGATTTGTCTGTGGTTTCTTCAGTATAAAATTCACAGGGACTCAGGGAAAAGAGGGGATCATAGACTTCACCCCGGGGTCGGAACTCCTGGTGGCCAAGGCAAAGAATGGACACCTGTCTGTGGTGAGTGGTTTTAATCAGCTTCACTTCCCCTCGTTCATTTAGATGTGAATAAAATCATGTGAATAATGTTAACCACGTCATACCAGGCAAAGGATTTTCTTGACATATATAATTTTACAAAAAGAATGCTATGCCATGTCATACTATTTCTATGGAGCATTATTACTATTTCTATTTCTCTTCCAGACGGCTCCCCGACTCAACTCCAGATGATGACAACACTCTTATGTCTCACACACAATACAAACACACACAGACACACACACACACACACACCAGAACCTACATTCTCCTGACCTCTCCCACCCTCCAATCATGAGACTGCAGACCTGCTCTGCCTAAGCCAATCAGATGCCATCTGTCATGACCCAGGTGGCGTGTGCTTCCGATTAAAAAAAAAAAAAATGCAGCAAAACTAATAGAAATATTTATGTTTATATGTTATATTTTAGTGATTAATACAGTCGCTGTTGAAATATTCTGATTTTTATATGTGAGGCCAAGGAATAACAAGGTGCGTTTTTCTTGCACCGTGCCTGTTTAATGTGCTTTTTGTGGGAACATGACCAAGTTAGGACAAGGGAGAGTCTACATCGAAGACACCAGGGAGGAGGTGGATGTGGACAAAATTCAGGGTTGTTTGTTGATCGTCTCGTCTGTCTTGCCTCTTGTCTCGCTTTCCTTGTTTAATTTTTTTTTTCCCTGCTTGTCCCAAAGACGTTGATTGTCTTGCTGACTTGACGCTTCTCTAACCGAGGTGAATGACGGGTCGTTGGAATCTTGAGGGTGCGACAGTACGTAGAGCCGTGGAGATTTTCAGGGATGGCGAATGACAGGGTTTTCAATTAAAGCGTAACGTAGTGTAGGACTGGCTCGTTTCACATCGACATCACAAGCTAAACAAACGGCGGATGATCAGTGTCTGTCCATGAAGGGGGAGGTGAAGGGATTTGAAGTGAGGTTCTGGGAGGAACTAAAATATTTCAGTGGAGGTTTCTACATCAGAACTGTTTGGTTAATTTGTTGAGTTCCGTTAAGAATATCATTGACAATTTAGCCTTTGATTTGCTGTGACTCACTGCTGCCCACAGGAAGTTATAATTGACTGAAGACTTGTACATTTTCCTGTTTAAAATTACCATCGTATCAGTGAGCAGTTCACAAACCAAAGGTCCAAACTGAAGAGAAAAACAGTAAACATCTGAGCATCAAAGTTGCCGATGACCTCACTTCAAAAAAACCCTTTCTCAGCACCACCACGTTCTCTGTTAAAGTGAATAAAGAAAGTGAGGAACTGCGAGAGGAACGGAGATGAGAGGGTTGTGTGAAAAGACAGACTGAGGGACGCAGCGGTCTTTATGCCTTGTTTCTTCTGTTAAACTGCTGCAGCCATGGATTTAGCTGGGAAGGAAGGCCTTTGTCCTGCGATCAGTCACTGAGCAGCAGCTCTGTTTTTTTATTTTTTTGTTTAAATTCTACCTGCGTTTCCCCATGATCCTCTCTGCTATTTAAACCAACTTGACTTTATTTGGTTTGATGACGCTATAACTAGACGGGTGTGACGGCTACCTCTGACCAAGCTCTGACCAAAGTTTTTCCATTTAATTTCATGCCATGATTTCTTTTTGTGAATAGTAATAGTGCATTTTAAATAGTTAAAAAAATGATTCTGAGGCCAATAACTGCAGTTTTACAGATGAAAATCACATCTCTAAACTTCTCATCTTCCCTGAAGACACACTTTTTGATGTTTAGCCTAAAAAACCGCCAGCAACACTAAAAACCTTCAGTCAAATATATAAATATATTTATATGTAATTATACATTATATTTACATTATATATAAGCATATATGTATATGTATATTATATAAGCACATATATTTACATATATATAATATACATGACATATAAGCATGTATACATATGTGCTTGAATATAATGTTTTATGTTGTATATAAAACATGAAATGTGTTTCCACAGAATTTCTTTACTCCCTATAGTTTGCCTGAATTCAGAACTGTGTCCCTGTGTGCTGTAACATTGGGTGGTGATGTGGGTGCAATATAAAAAAAAAAGTACTTTAAGGCCACACCTTAAAATATAGCCTGGCCAAAGATGACCCTGTAGTGGATTTCTCCTGATTCTGTGTATGGTTTGTCTGGCGTCCTGATGTTTATGTTCCAGGACAGAGACGTGTTTTTTTTTTGTTTTTTGTTTTTTGTTTTTTATAGTTTGTGTTCAGTGATCAACCTGAGAGAATCAAGCCATGTGTTGGAGAAAAGAAGCTTCTAGTATTGTTCGCTATCATGATCCTGTGCCTTGTTTAACAGCAATACTACGTGTGTGAACGTTGAAAAAAAAAAAAAAGAAAAAAAAAAGAAGAAGAATACTGTAAATACCTCCCTCACAGTCCAGTCAGTAGCCAATGTGCTGCTCCGAGTCTTTCCGGGCCTTTGTTTTGTCCCAGCAGCACCTAAACGCCTCTACGTGTATGAGCTTCATTCAAACCAAAGCCCACCTTCATGTCTTGATTTACATTTGCACTCCTGACTTACTGTATGCACCGAAGCAATGTATAATGATACCAGCACACTAAAAACAAACGCCATACTTAAGTTTAAATAAATAATACATTTGGAAAGTAAACTGTTGACTGTTTATTTAATATTGATATTTTTTAGCTGTGTTTAGATTCTGTTTAGCCAAAGTAATTATTTTTAACATGTATTACCAACGAAGGTGGCACAATGGACATAAATTCTGAGCGAACTAGTCGGTCATGCGCCTAATTCGTCGACGTCAACGGTCCCAAATTTGAGACTGTCCTTCCCTCTAGTGGCCAACAGATGTCAGCATTGAGCTAAGACATCTACGTCTTTGTTTGCTGCTGGAGAATTCTGATGCTGAAAAACATGAATCACCTCCTCCCTTAGCTTTATGCAGGAGTTTCCTCTCGCGTCGATGAGAAGTCATTTCAGGGTCCAAGTTTGGCCGACTCAGCTTTTGTCTTAAAATATAGTTCTAAACAATTTTAGTTAACAAGTTACGTTGTGTTTATTCTCCATTGCCATTAACCATTCGGGTAAAAATGTGGTAGTTGTAGAGACCACCTTAAATGTACTGCTGATAGTTCAGGTTTCTGCCAAAGTAATTTAAATGGGGAAAGGTCCAAGTTTATTTCTGTTTTTATTAAACCGAGGAGACTCAAATATGAACGGAGGCTTAACAACCTACAGGGCAGTTCTAGTAAATTATAGCTTCAGTACGTGCGACTTTTAGCTCGAAACTGTATTTTTCTAATTTATTATAACAGCGGTTAACTTAAAATTAAAATATTTGGGGGGTTATTATATTTTATTATTTTTCAAAAACATTGAACTGTATTTTTGTTCCTCCAAATTGTTGCTGCATTTGTTCAAGCTCTATTCGTTGTGGACCGTGTTGATTTTATCCAGATTTCATTGCAATACCTCCATATATTTGTAGACATAAATCGGGTCATTTCAACTTTACCTTATGTTCATTTTATTTTCAGGAAATCCGTATATACTCCGAGATGACTGTTCCTCGTTTGACTTTTTTCAGTTTTTCTTTTGTCTTGTATTGTCTCCATAAATGAAGCAAATGTTCATTGATTTTGTTCGTTCGACTACGTTATCGACTCTAACATTTTCTATGTTCTATTTCGCAACTTTTTTTCATCTGATCCGTCTGTGACTACACTTCTTTTTTCTCCAACAATGTTTTTGACAAACAACACACGCACATGCATGTAGGGACGCAGAGCTCGACGCTGATTTGCTGCTGCTTCTCTCCTGGCTCAGCCACCAGCCAATCGGGAGCCGCTGTTGTTTTTGTGCGTCGCTGTGCTGCTATAAATCCCTGCGGAGATGAACGATGAGGCTGAAAGAATCTATAGACTCTGTGTGGAGAACATTAAGAAGACATCGGTGTGAGGAGCTGCTGCTGCTGCTGCAGTGTTCTGTCCTCTGCTGTGGTTCCGGAGCTGAAGGAGTCTGAGTGAAGGACCGACTGAAGGAGCTGTGCTGCTGCTGCTGCCCCCGCTGCTGCTGCTCCCGCCGCCCCTCTCCTCCGCTCTGCTGCTGCTGCTGCTGCTCTCACAGGTAAGACGCTCTGACTATCCATCACTGCTGATGCTGAGTCACGGTTTAGGCTGGTCACACACAGAATCACCATCGCACTGTAGCCGTCAGTCAGTCAGTGTGTGATGGATGGTGATAGTTTCAGAGACTGGACCTCTTCATGCACAGCATCTCTTTGAAGGTTGTGTTCAAAGACGTTAAAATCACACCTCTCTGCAGATGTGGAGACACTGACTTACATTTCATTTCAAATCTACTAATGACATTTGATCACATTAAAGTATAGAGATTTTTAAGCAGGGATCCGTAGTATTACACTTTTTTTATACATACAATTTTTGAAAAGGAAAACAAAAAAGGTGTTTAATGCTAAAAGTCAACACATGTAACCTGGAAAAGAGCAACACAATAAAACGGGCTGTTTTCTTTGTCATTTCTGATTTAATGAGTGTAAAAATGAGTGTAATGAGTGTAAAAATTAACACTATTTCTTAATTATAAAAAACATTTTTAGAGTAAGTAAAATACCTATATTATATTTAGTTGTTTGTTTACGGGTTAAAACAGTTGAATGTCTATTCATATCAGGTTATGTTGAGGTTGAGATTCATATGTTCAACTTTTGGTTCATAATAATCCATTGTTCTCTATAGTTTTTCATTCAAAAGAACATATAGCATTGCTGCAAGCGGTGTTAAAAACTTGGTGCTTCGACGGTAGATACTCGTTTCTAAAGCTGCCCTTTAAGTTTTTAATTATAAGATGGTGATGATGATGATGATGATGATGATGTGACTCTACAGTATAAATAAATAGGAATTCTGATAATAACTGCTGCACAAACCTGCACGCGCACACGCGTGCCTGTGTCGGTGTGTCGGTGTAAGATGATCTTTATTTAAGTGATTCCCTCGCACAGAAGAGGAGCAACAACAACAACAACCCACAGACACCAGTTTCGGGGTTTTTTTTTTTTTTTTTTTGACATGTCTCTGGTTGTCAGTCTTCCTGTTCTTCGCTGTCTTTGTGTGATCACTGTAGCTGCTGGGTGGTTATTTCCTCCGCACTGTTGTTGATGTTGAACAGCTGAGCGCCCCCTCACTGGAGGATTGTGTCAAGCTGCCTTAACCGAAATGTCAGAAACAAAGGAAAGGACGGTGTTTTTCACAATAAAAGCAGACACAATAGGACAGAGCTGGTTTATGTTTAATTAATTAATTATTCATGATACAAAGGCTAATATAGGTACTAGTATTTGGGGTGGACTGAACTATTATTAAGGTATGTCAAAGCCAGTTGAACCCATGGCTAAAACCCGATAGTTGTTGTGATGACCAAAAACTTCTCAGAAGATGGTGTACAATTATTGTTATCATCAATTCTAATTCAAAGTAATCCTGTATATTCTATGAGCTGGTCTACAGAATGTTGGTGCCATACGCCTTCTTTATACGTAAAACAACGATTTTTACGATTTTTAGTTTTACTTGTTTATTGTTAACAAGTGAATTAAGTCACAGTTTTAAAGAAAGCAGTTGGCGTTAACGAAACCCCACTTTAATTGTGAAAGGGTTAAAACAGGAAGTGTGGTGTTTTTCCCTTTTTTGTCTTGACTGAAGTGGCGGCAAGAGGGGGAGGAGGAGGAGGAGCGGGATGGGGATGCAGATTGTAGCAGCAGCAGGAGGAGGAGGTGGAGTAGATTTCAGTCCAGTTCAGACCAGTTCTGTCGCTGCACTTCATTCACCGCAATATTTTTTTTTACTGTTATTGTTCTCAGTACAACAGTGTGTTTGTGGGTCGGTGTAGGCGATGTCAGTACTGCGGTGCGGTAAAATAAAGACAGACTAACTGACAGTCGGTGACGTTCGATTCAAAGTTCCTGCCGTGATAGAAAAACAAACTCAGACGTCACTTCGAAAAACAGGAAATTCATACTGTTCTATTTTGGACTATATGTTCGTCACACCGAGGACTTTTTCTATTTTAAAACACATTTCAAGCCATTTATGCAGTATATGGAAGATTATACAATGAAAAAACAATGTTAACGAAACCAACAGTTGTTGAAGGAAAGGTCTGTTTTTAATTATTATGTGTTTCTCCCAAATATAAATAGAACAAAACAAATGGTCCATATGGCTTTTGTTTTGAATATTTGTTCTGGTAAATATTTAAATACTCAGCCATTATCTTTAAGAGCTTGGCATCAGTGAAGTACTGTTTCCATTTTAAGATGTCATAAATTCAAATGTCTTAAAATGGTTGTGTTATTATCTTATAATTTATACCAGGCCAGCTAAGAGGAAGCAGAACAACCAAAGCTCGCGCCGCACTGGTTCAAACCGGCTGGAGCTTGTGCTGCATTCACGTGCTGTGGGGTTTTCAGCTTCCTTTTTTTTCTTTCATGCTGGTCGTCTTTTCACAAATCTTTCTACAGAAGGACTGAAACAAATACTGTTTTCTTTGTCCTTGTTTCTTCGGAAAGCACTGTAAAACTCCTGAAAGACAAATAGTTCTCTTTGTCATTTAATATTCAATTAAAAAACTGGATTTTTGACTGATAGGACGTCATTTTACACCAAAATTAAGAAAGTTAAGAAAAATCGACGTGCATTTGTTCAAGCTTAACTTTATCTATTGTTCGTTTTGCACAAACATCTTCATCTGATCCACTGCCCTCATACATCGACATGCACAAAGACCCACAAAGAGGGCTGAAGGCAACATCAGGCTCACGTGTAACTGCTGCATGAGCCCTGTCTCGAACAGCCAATCGGAGAAAGGCCTGTTAAAACCCTCGGCCAATCAGATGTGTCAGGGACCCAGAGGTGATTAATATTCATGAGGGGTTTGTGTACCTCAAAAGCCTCAGCTGTCTTCTGTTTGTGAGTCTTTCTTTAGACCATCATCATCCTCAACTCCATCATCATCATCAGGTAGAACAAAGGAGTCCAACAAAATAATTGTAAAAGGATATGAATTATTTTTATGTACACATAAAATAAGGTCTTCATGTACAACACCCAGGGTGTTACTGCCGTTTCTGACATTCATGTACAACACCCAGGGTGTTACTGTCGTTTCTGACGGTCCTGAGTCCAGATCATTCATTTTTTTCTTTGTTTTTTTTATATTCCTTGTATTTTCCACTCCAGCAGCCCCTCCATCACCTCCATTAGAGCGAGTGGACATCTACCTCCAACTCCGCAGAAATGGCTCCCACTCTGGCCACAGCGTTCTCCCGGCGCTGGTGGATGGCGGTGACGGCGGTCATTGAAAACCTACTTTTCTCCGCTGTCCTGCTCGGCTGGGGATCCCTGCTCATCATGCTGAAGTCTGAAGGCTTCTATTCTTACTTGTGCTCAGGACCAGGTGAGTCAGCGTCTTAATGGTTGTGTTATTTTTGGGGGGGGATTAGACAGGGTGACCCATTAAACCACATTAATCTGCTTCTCATTGCTTCTGGGAACACTGTTCAATCCCAGATTTCCTCTCTCTGTCAAAATTTGTAACAGAACGACAAAACTCTCATTGGCTTAAGAAGCATTACTGGAGGCAACTCATTAAACCAAATCTTTTAAAAAATAAACATTGTTTTTAAATGAAGTACAAATATTTTCCCAACACCTCAGGAGAGACAGGGATTTGGTCGTGTTGTCTTTATATGCTTAAATAGAATTTTATAATATTCCAAAACTATTTGTCTTTTTGATTATTGCTGTGAGAAAAAAAAAATCTTATTGCCTTTCTTTGGTAGTGCTATGATTTGTTTTATCTTCAACTTGATGTGAAAAACAAAGATAAATCTTGACGTATTTATTTGTTTTACCTTCTTATACCAACAGTTCAAAGAAGTAAACTTCTTTTACCAGTAGGCTTTTACCTTTTTTGTTTGTTTTACAACGTGGGGAGTTGTGGCTTATACTGTAGCAGTATAATAATATAAAAATAATTATATAATAAATAAATACTAACTCACGTGCAAATGGAGGAACAGAGGCCCCCAGAGTCTTTGTGTGAGATGTTTAGCAGGGCAATGGCACATGTTTCGACAGCCTGACTATCTTCGAGGTGTTGTGAAAGTCAAGCTTTCAAAAGATTGTGACACTCTGCAGTGATGAACAAGTGATAAGTGGGTGTGGAGAGTTCAGGCCACAGAAAGACGACTCAGGGATGTTTCTGTGTTTAAAAATAGCCCTAGGACTTTAGTTTATCTTTAAGTTCGGTTTACTATCAGTAATGACATTGTAGTTAAGGACGACCTTGAATTCATTTGTGTATGAATTTTTTTTAACTCATTTAAATGCTTGGGTAGACCATGCAGGAAAAACTTCACACTTTTTTAAAACACGGTTTTGCAGGAGTAATGTGACCCAGACCTGCTTTATTTTTGGGTGTTTTAGTCAAATTTTGAGAAATAATTCGTTTTTAATTTTATTCTTTTTTTTTATGCCAACATTCAAGTCTCACTACTATATTGAAAGGTATTGATGTTTAAAGCTGGTCTTAGCCACATAAACACAATAAACTTGTTTTCACTTGAGCTGTGTAAACTCACAGTGACATCTTGGAGAAATACTATTGATGAAACTGTTGTGATTTCCCTGTGAAAAACAACTCAATAAGATTTGTCAGTCAGGGAGTCAGATACGGTGGTATTGTTGTTCAGACTCTCAGTGATCAAAGGTGAGGACAGATGAGGCACACAGGCCATTGTTGTTTTTTGTGTTTTTTTTGTCCATGTTGCTTTTTCGTGCTCCTTCGGCCATGATGCTCTGACAGAGGATCCGACGACAACAACAACACAGTAGAAAGGCTAGATGATCATCACTGTCATGGCCATCAGTGTGTGTTTGGGTTGGGTTTATTGCCAGGCAGCAGATGGAAGTGTGAATGTGACTATTCATCCGTCCATTCTTCACAGTGTTCAGCACACAGGGTTTCATTTGTCTGAGTCTCTTTGATCCACTGATCGTCTCTGCGTCCCTACTTTCTCTCTTTGTCTCTGACAGAGCAGCAGTTGTGAACGGCCGTGCAGAGTTAATTGGGGCAGATGACGGTGGTTCTGACCCTCTGAGTACACACGGCCGCTGCCTGTATGAGTTATCAGGGAGCAAAACAGTGTCCTACAGGGGACATGAATTATGGGTAACACCCAGAGATCTGCGTCTAGACACTCTCTGGAGATTGTCTCTCACATATGTGGAGCAGAGTGGGACATTGTCTGTCAGAGATACATTTACAGGAACAGGGGAATCTCTGGAGGAGAAGGGCGGGGTCTGACACTTACCCAACTGGGTCTTCCCTCATACACTCACCCTGGCATCATCCGTAAACACCATGCCAGCTCCCAGATCAATATTTGCGGTCTGTTCATTTGACTGGATGCCCTCGGCGGCAGGTGTGCTAACTGCTACACTATGGAACTATGAGTTCAACAACAATGAATTTAAATTTTTTTTAAAATATGTTTTGTGTATATCTATGTGAACATTATGTGGTGAACCTTTAGGTTTGTGCATTGATATTTAGCAGAGGAGACGAAACATGATACCCGAGCAATTTAAGGAATTTAAGTTTTGTTTGTGTTGTGTTTACATAGACACCCATCAAAATTTTAAGGAATTTAAGTTTTGTTTGTGTTTACATAGACACCCATCAAAACGAGGACATCAAAATATTTCTTGTACCAGAGAGAGCCTTCTCTCAGGTATTGTTTTTCAAAGACACATTTGATGAGTCAACAGTGTGTGTGTGTGTGTGTTCAACAACAGCGTTCAGTCACAGTGGCTCTTGCTTTAGTTTTAAAGGCAGAAATGCATTAAAAATTCTAAAACCTCAACTAACATTTTCATGCAAAAATACAGCTTGGTGAACCTAATAAGTTTAAGTTCAGAGCTGTTAGAGTCAAATCAGACATATCTGTCATATTATTAGTGTCATTTCTAAACTGTGACACAGCAAAAAATCAAATCTTTCTAAACTGTGACACAGCAAAAAAAATAAAATTTTCCAATCCTACAATAAGAATAATTTCTTAATATTGAAATAAAAAAAACCCCACAAGAAATAGTCTTAACAGGAAACACCGGTTCACTGTGTATTGAAATATGAGAAACACCTGCTGAAAGCGGGTGTGCAACACGGTGTGTGTGCTTCTCAGAGATGGTGGAGTCAGCTCTTATAACCTCCAGTGTGTGTTTGTCTGTACGTGTGTGTATGTGTGTGTGTTGTCACACTGTTGACTCAAGGCTGTTGCAGTCATTTGATTAGTCAGCAGCAGCAGCCAGTGGGCGACTGATGCTGTTCCTTATTGTTAACACTAAGCAAATACTGCTCCGACACAAACAACAGCGTGTGATCCTTCTATTCACAGAAACAGACGGTCCTAAGGATTCTTTTTTTTAATAGACTTTACAGTATATTAGGTTTATTAGTGCTGCAGAAAAACAAATGTGAACTGGGTAACAGTGTGTTTTCTTAGACTTTGGTCCCAGTACAACTTAAATGACTGATTAAAATCATGTCCTTGTTTAGTGAAGGTGGACATGTCCCAGTAATTCCAACCTGCCTTTATGTAGATTTTTATCCATCCACATCTTATTTTTTTCTTTATCCTTCCGTGTCATTGGTAGTTCCTTGAAGATCTTTGTGTCTTTGTACTGTTTAGTGAACCTGCACTAAACAGTACCGTAACTAGATGATTTCCAAAGACACGTCACCTTTCACCTACTTAAACCTGGAGCTCAGGTTTGGTTGAAGAAATAGCCCTCCAATTGTTCCTCTGAATCCTGCCTCTTTTTTTTTTGTTTTTTTTGTTTTACCGTATCCTTACCTCCTTCCTTATCTGCCCTGCAGCTGACTCAGCAGATGCCTACATCTCCATCACTATCACGCAGACCTTTAACAACACATTCCTGCAGCTGACTCAGCAGATGCCTACACCTCCATCATTATCACGCAGACCTTTAACAACAAAAGGGAAACACATTCTTGTTTATTTGATTCAGCTGCAACCTGAGCTGCGGTTGAAAACTTGCCCCCGAGGACGAAGGAAGAAAACACTTGTGCGTGTTTGCATGATGGAAAGTACTTAACAACCTCTCCCCCTCCCCAATTTAGTGTTTTTGCCTGACATTCCAAGTGAGAACAAGCCAAGGTTACCGGGGAGTTTGTCTGTCCTTTTGTCTGTTGCACAGATTCCCTCCAGCTCAGGAGTCTGTTTAATCTGACAAAAATAGACTTCGAGAGAACTCGCTGGACTTTGTTTACAGGCGGTTCAGTCGGAGACAGACACTGTCAGATTAAACTGTGACAGATCACCCCCCTCCCCGCTTCCCTTTGCACAGTGTGTGTGTACGGGGGGAGTGGGGGGGGGTTCACTCGATGCTATTTCTGGAGACAGGTTAACCTGTTTTTCTCTCAGTGGGTTTACTTGACCTTTGTAGAGTCTACTGACATTTTAGAACCTCATCAAAAACTTGGATGAGCCGCGGTCAGCAGATCCAGACAGGATGTTTTGGTAGCAGTAAAATGATGAGTATTTATTGTTTTGACCTGTCAAATGCTGGTGACCAGACAATAATGTTGTTGTTGCTCTTTCCACCACTGAATCTTTGTCTGTCTTACTGCTTCTTCCCCTGCCTTTAAACCAACTTTCTTTTGCCTCATATCTGACCTGAAGTTTCTTCTTCTTGCTCTCATTTTTCCCACCACTCAGCAAACAGCTCCAGCCTCTCCAACGTTTCTACCCCTAAAAATGGCAGCTGGGACGATGAGTACCTGGAAATGAATGGCTGGCCCATCTGCAAAGACCAGGATGAAATGCTGAACCTGGCGTTCACCATCGGCTCCTTCCTGCTGTCGGCCATTACGCTGCCCATGGGCATCATCATGGACAAGTATGGGCCGAGGAAGCTGAGACTTGTAGGAAGGTAAGAGCATCAGATAACGGTGTCCCACGGTTTTCATCTTTTACTGCGTCTTGTTCATACTCGTCTCTTTGTGATTTCCAGCGCCTGCTTCGCTTTTTCTTGCCTCCTCATCGCCTACGGAGCCAGGGACCCCAACAGTATGTATCTGTGTACTCACACACGTGTCCTCCAGGAGGACAAAAGTGTCTTAGGCCATGATCTTAAATGGATTCTCTGTGTCTGATCTTGTTTTTGTTTCATGGCTGTACTTTGTTCTGTTTTTGCAGATCTGTCCATACTGATCTTTTTCGCTTTGGCAATGAACGGCTTTGGGGGCATGTGCATGACCTTTACATCACTGACGGTGAGTAGAAAACTTTAATTCATGTATTTTTTCAGTTGTGTCTTTATTCTACGTCCATATTGTGTGGCAAATGAAAAGAAACATTTTTAGGGTCAGGGTAAGAAGAGTTGATCGGATGATTGGATGTGAGTCAATGGGCAGTGAAACTGACTTCAGGCTCAAAGGCTGTGGGTTTCATTATGGACTGTTGTTGAATACATACCGCCCCCTGATGGCATTGCCATCAGACAGAGAGAGAAATAGAGAGAGAGAAACAGAGAGAGAGAGAGAGATGATCTGGCAGAGAGGGCTGAACACAGTGGTCAGGATGGGGATGATGTCATCAGGAGAGATAGTGCAGCATCACAAGAGAGATGACACGTGAGGGAAAAGGAGTAAGAGGAGGAGCAGAGTGTCTGCATCAGTCATCTATTATTCATGATGAGTCCTCCAAAGAGACGTGTCTTCCTGATACTTCAGGACTCGACCGTATAGAGTATGATTGGTTTTAACACATGGTTTAAACATCTCTCTGTGGTAAATGATGGTAACGTTTCTCAATATGTTCAATGTATTGAACATGTCCTTGTCAGATTAATGATTTGTTTTCAACATAAACAAGCATTCCAGTAGTGTGTAAATGTGCGCTCCGGGTCGGTCTCCGTGTAACTAACCAGGTGAAGAGTCGTTTGAACCCAGAACATCAGTTTATTTACCCCGACGTGCAATAAAAGCAGAGCAAAGAGGCAGTCACTGAGGGGGCAAACACAGAGGAGCAGCAGGGGAGCTGTGTGTGTGAGTGAGAGAGAGAGAGAGAGAGTCCTACCCATGTTACCTCTTCATGCTGCCTTTTGAGACCCTGACTGAAACCATACACACACACACACACACACACACACACACACTCACGCTCCTGAACCTGTTCCCCGTGTCTTCCAGTCTCAGACTGGTTGTTTTTGTCTTCTCCGGTGTCAGTTGTTCTTGTTCATTGGCGAGACAGGACCTGCAAACCCCTGCCAAAGAAACTGTGTCATAAGAGTGCGCACGTGTGTGTGTGCATGCGTATGTGTGAGAGTTCGTACACAGCTGCAAGAGCGCCTTAATGTACACTACGTCAATGTGTGCAGCTGTTGTTGAAGCTGTGAGGCACCACAGACCTACAGGAAGCTGAGCTGCCGCTCACTGCAGGATCAAACAAATGTTCCATTTATTCTGCAGAAGAGTGAAAAGTGCAAAAGGGAGAGAGAGACAGAGAGACAGAGAGAGAGAGAGACGGAGAAGTTGTGATATCCTCACTCTCCCCTTGCCCATTCCTGAAGCTCTCTGAGTCATAGGTTGTAACTGAGGAAAACAAGCATTTAAAAGAAAACTGTTGTCTTTACTTGTGAGGAAACGGAGACTCTGACGCAGCACAGGAGCAGTCAGGAGTCAGTGACACCTACAAGGTCAATGGGAGTCTTCCCATTCTACCTACTGTCTGTGTGTTCTGGGTTTTTTTTCTTTTTGTTGTTACAAGGTCAATGGGAGTCTTCCCATTCCACCTACTATCTGTGTGTCCTGGGTTTTTTTTCTGCTCTACACAGAGACCTTCAAATTTGATCTTCAGTTGATGATCTTCAGTCTCTCCGTCCACATTTTTTCTGCTCTATTTTTACAGTAAACAACCAAACTTTGCAGTTGACCTTTTGACCTCCTGTCCACTTATCTTGAGCCTTTTCGTTTCCGTTTCTTTGTTTCTCTTGCTCACTCTCTCGTGTGAATGAAAACGTAGCGCTAACTGACGTAGTAATGTGCTACACAGTTTATGATCATGATTTATTTCTTACTCAGATTATAAAAGGTCTACACCCCCCCACCCCCCCAACCCCTTCGCTCCCCACCGTACACACATGTCCACAGACATACATGTGTCCACTCCCTCAGACACACATGTAGCTCCTCCTGCTGTCCTTTGTCTTGTTGGCTGCACGTGCTGCTTCCTGGGTTTGGTTTCCTCGTCAGGATTTCTGCTCACTGCCTGTGTTCACCCTGTGTCTACCAGATGATCGAGAGTTTTTAACCATTTTATCATTTACATAAAACATTATAAAACTGACCGTCTGAATATAAGGGTCGCCTCAAACACAGAAGAGTCTGAATCATGTGGTCAGCATGGGGGATGACGGTGGAGAGAACAGTCAATGCTCTGTTTACATGTCCCCACATGAGATGTGGGAACCAAATACAGGAGGGGGGCGGAGGAGGACGCTGAATGTTAAAGGTCAAGAGTTGTTCTGTTACATGATATGGAACGTGGACGCCATGCAGCCGCAGCAGCAGCAGAAGTAGAAGTCTAGATATGCTTTTCCAGGTACCTGCTGGAAGAAACACCCTCCAGACACTTGTTTATAGATATCTGTCCTCCATAAAGTCTGGCTGCAGAGATTCATGTTCCTTGTTTTTCACATCCTTAAAATTCCCATGTGCAATAACAGAGTTGAAGCCCAGTGAGCAGGCCAGCTAACAACACTAGATATGACTGTTCCTTTTATTTATTAGTAAGAAAAAACAGATAAATAGTCTGAAGTATGTGTGCTCTTGTTGATATCAATCACAACATTGACCCTGATCTCAGCTCTCTCCTGGTCTGAAGCCTTTCTAGATAACGGATGTGGGACAATAAATCTGTCTCTCTTCAGATTGACACCTACGTTCTGCTGCACTGCAGTTTATGATGTTGACGTCTCACTGGAGACCTTTAACTCAAGGTTAACTTTTAGGAAGCCTTTATTTCCGTTGTCTTATAAATTAAAGCAGTGGACAGAGCTAATGCGACGCCCCCTATATTGGTCATTCACGGCTGTTGTTTCAGATCTCTGCTGACCTTTATTGTCAACACTGTAATTCCAAAGAAATGTTGACAAAGGGAGTTAAGTTACAAATCAGAGCTGTTTTCCCCCAAAGTGCCTCAATTAAAGGCACGATTGAATTAAAAACTCATTTTCCATTCTGTACTGATGCCACACTGTAGCCTGCTGCCCCCAAGGGGGACCCACCCTTTATGTTGTTGTTTAAGACGTTTTGCCTCACTGTTGTTGGAGGTTTACAGCCTCATACATTATTGATGCTCTGTGCTATTTTAACTCTGTTGGGTTAGTATCTACGACCAGGTTCTGTTTTTATTTTAAGTTAAAAAATAGAAAATCATTTGTAAATGTAATTGTAGCTCCCCCTGCAGGACTGCCACAAGCTCTCTGTTTATATACATAAAAGCTGAAGAAGAGAAATACCAGAATATTGCAAACTACTTTACTGTATATGCTACAGTTGAGCTTTAAAGCTGTTACTAATAAAATGAAGCTTTGATGTCGGACCAACAGATACCGGTCATACGGTTTCCTCTGATTGATGGGAGAGCCAACCCTGTGCGTCAGGACAGGACCGGTCAGAGCTGGTTCTCAGTGGTCCAGCAGTCTGCTGCTGCTGCTGCTGCTGCTGCTGCTGAAGTTCTTACTTGCTGCAGTAATTGATCTTCCTTGTTTCATTTCTCTCTCCCTCCAGTTCTTCTTTTTTTGTCCCCCTTAAATCAGCTGATCACACATTTAGTAACTGTTGAGTTTCATTTTTCTTCCTATCTCTTTGTATTACATTTTATATAAAGATAACATCAATCTCTAAGTTGACACAAGGCTGTCCTGAAATATCCTCGCTGAACAAATATGTTACAATGAATTCACCTGAAAACAGATCCTGGACCTGAAACCCACTCGTTGAGGGGTGAGGAGGGGAGGAGGGGTTTTTTTGTGATGTGCCTTTTGCACCGTCACCCCTCGGGGCCAATGTGCTAACATATCCCATTCCTTATCTCCAGGTGACTGCTCAGGAGCATAAAATAGCCCTCCACTGGTTGTTCAAACACTGCGTGTGTGTGTGTTTTGTGCATGAATACCACTGTGACCAAGTGGACGTCTGACGTAGTTTGAAAGAAGCATTTTTTGTTTGTTTGTTTTTCACCACTGCTGCCGTTGTGTCCTACTTTTCTCATTTCTGTCTTTGGTAACAGTTGGTTCTGGAGAAACAAATAAACATTGTTGTAAAGCCAAAGTAGCCAGCCTACTGTCACAGGCTTAAACATGTCCCCAGTAGGGAGGGATTGCACATTGTAACGGCAACGGCTTTTGTTACATGGCTAAAATCT